ATAAGTAGGTATGAGGCTGGCGGGGGACGAAATTTACACGTATTGACTTCACGCTATGCGTGAAAACGAACACTTACCTGGCCCGTAATTATTGCCGAAGCAAAACATCAGCTCATTCTTAAAGACTCGTCGGCATATTTTTCGTATAAAACTTGTTATAAAATACGACTAACCCATTTATAGTGATCCGTTATCCGGTGCACTTGTAGAACCATAACTGGGCCCTTCATTGCATTAATGATCCAGGCTAGAACTAGCCTTAATTGAAGACTTGATGCCAAACTATCAAATAAGACGAATTTCAAATATTTTTAGAGAAACTATTTTTTTTAGACATACCTATGTGGCAAACCAGCAGACATGTTAGGTGTCTGATGGAAAGTGACTACCTCTGCTACTACGAGTACTACCTACTATCATAATGACTAGATGTCATTTTTTTCTTATTAAGTAATTTCCTTGTAGACAGTACAAAGGAAATACTGTGCATTATTTGGACACTTATTGTAATAAAGCGTACCTACCTAAATACATTATTTTCAGTGAACTTTACCAAATAAAGTGTGTCTCAATAAGAGTGCACTTTTTAAATTTAGAATCATTTTTCTTTCGTGCTAGTGGCAACTCTGAAATTTTAACTGCTGCCACCTATGTTTATTGCGATTATTAAAAATGGAGCGTTTTTCGAAAGAACAACGCGTTATAATTGTGAAAACTCATTACAAAAATGGGGAAAGTTAGTTTAGTGTAGCCGAAAACCCGAAAACATCAATTCGGCATCGTTCTCAACAACTTCATATTTCACGAAGCACTACGCAGCGAATTTTGACAAAAGACCTCCACCTTCATGCGTACAAGATTCAGCTAACTCAGGAGCTTAAACCAGCAGATTGCTGCCAGCAATCGATCTGATGTCAACTGGCCACCAAGATCGTGCGATTTTTTACTTTGGGATTTTACGGAATCTCGGGTTTATACGAATAAACCAGAAATAATTTAAACTCAAATCAGAGAGTCAACGCGTCATCGGTGAGATACAGCCACATCTCAGTTTAAAAGTCATGGAAAATTTCATTAAAAGAGTAATGGCCTGTTATCAGAGCCGTGAAGGCCATTTGCCGGATATTTTATTCCATACTTAATCGGAACATGTCTTCTTTACAATCCAATAAAAATATCACAACTCTTTCATAAAATACGTGTTTTTATTTTAAAATAAAAAGTGCACTCTTACTGAGACACACGTTACTAGTAGGTATACTAGTAAACTGAGAACAAGTGATCTCCGTTTACTAAGAACGTAGATGTTTTTGACACTACCATTACCTATATTGACACGGGGCAAATATAACGGTGTTAGGAAATAATTAAAGCATTTGTAGATAAAACTTATGTAAATTTCAAAATTAAATTAAAAAAATATTTCATTTGATATAGAGATTTACAAAACTTTTAGACGACTTCAGAAGGCTGTGAGTCTTGTAGCTTTAGAATATTTAACGTAATCAGGTAAGCGATATTGTTATATATATGAATTTACAATCATCACTACCGTTCATAGGGGAAAGGTGTCTATGAACCTATGTGTAATCTACCTCGCTACCAACAATTATTTACATACAAGAATTGCGTGGTTTAAATTTTTATAGTCTATCCTACTATTGTTTAGGTGAGACTCGTAGGAGTGTTGGTCTGTTTGAGTGCTATGAAGATATAATTGACCGATGTGATAACTAGAATACTTACATGGGCTATGTTGTAAGGCTGAGTAGGTAAGCACCGGTGGAATGTGTGATGGCCACAACAAAACGTTGCTTACCCTAAACAGTGTGCGGGCACTGATAAGACGCGCTCATTAATTCATTGACAGAGGTGAGGCTGTCGGCCGTGGGCAGGTAGACTGAGTGGTGCTCGTCGACTAATTACCGGCGGGTGCGTGTGCAGGGCCACCCACAGCGCGACCAGCACTAGATTCCACGCCCGCCGCGTTTTTTACACCCTAATTAAGCTAATTTATCGGGACAATAAGAGAAATTATCGGTAGCCTGCGGCGGTTACTGCCCGCTTTATGAGACGTATTAAATTGCTGAGTTTAAGAGCGCTACCGGACTACACGACCGCGTCTCGTCGAGCTGAGCGCGCCCTCGCTTTGATGCCCCAATAAATATACAAAAGATCCCATCAGATAACGCGTGAATGGAGCCGCCGTCGACGCATCCTCTCTTAATGAAAGCCTCGCCGAGGAATTCCTTGGACAAAGCCTTAAAATGCTAATAACACGAGGGCGACACAACCGCGCGGCTTCTAGAATGTGCTCCGATAACGAAGGTGCCAATCTCGCAGGTGGACAGATTAAATGAGTATTTTATGGCAGATTAGGTAAACGTTTTTTTACGAATGAATGTTTTATAGCGCACGGGCGTGTGGGCCCTCACCGACGACTTTTTGTTAAATAGCAGCTACTGCACTTGATCACATATCTTTACGTAATGTTATCCAAATATTTAGTATAATTGGTATGTGATCCATTTTGATAATTTTAATTAATTCTGTGTTCTCGATAAGTAACCAAAAGGCAAGAGGTATCGTTTCCTCGCGTGTCTTTAAATACTTTATAGATAAATAAAACTTTATATTTTTTATCTTCAGATCTAGATAGGTAGGTAGGTATGTGCTGTCCGATAAATGAGTATAAAGCTTCCTAATGATATAATAACATAGGTAATACCTACCTACCTACCTATTTTAGATCTAGATTCTACAAGTTACTTGGAGGGTAGGTATCCATTACCTAGGTAATCTACTGATCTTAGATCTATTTAAAGAGTAAGTGTCCTACCCACGTTTAATTATACATAATAAGAATAAATAAATATATAAGGATTTATAATGTTATAGTCTTCTCCACGACTAGCACTTATCGTTCCCAACGATAACGAACCAACGAATTATACGTTTCACATTTTCACAGTCTGTATTTGTTTGGTTTAGGCCCGTAAAAATCGATCTAAGTGGCGTGCAATGGGAGAGGCCTATGTCCAGCAGTGGACTGCAATAGGCTGATGATGATGAGGCCCGTAAATGCAGTAGAACCTACCAATCCTACCTAGCTGAAATAGTAATAATAAAAATTCACACATCTCAGACATAGAAAAAATTATCGTGCTCATCACACAATTATTTGTCCTGGGTGGGAATCGAACCCACGACCTCCGGCTTAGCAGTCAGGGCCACTATCCACTAGACTAACACTCTAGGACTCAAGTGATGAATTTATTGCGTTCATATTTACTTTCTTCATTAGTCCAGGTATAAAAAAAACAATGCGAAGTAGTTAATTAAACATAAGTATAGGTAACTAAAAACGGAAGATTCGTATGGTTGAAATGTAGGGAACATTTCAACCATACGAATCTTCCGTTTTTAGTTTCTTTTCCTTATTGAAATCGTAACGTTCATATTATATCGTATTTTTGAAGTGATAACTTCTTATGGGAGGGTAAACCGCTCCGTTACGTAACGCGTTACAGTGCCGAGTGTGTAGGTATGGTGTGTAGTATAATTTATTGACTTGTAATTTATTGAGTTTTTACGTGTGCATTTTTTGCAAGTTATGCTAATGGAGCTAAGATTTTCGACGACCGGATGGCGTAGTGGTTTGTGTAACGGACTGCTAATCCAAAGGTCGCGGGTTCGATTCCCGCTCAAGTCAAACATTTGTGTGCATGAACATTTGATGTTTGATTTGGTCTGGGTGTTTCTATGTATAGTATGTATGTATTTACAAAAAAAAGAAAAGTATATATGTATTTATATCAGTTGTCTAGTACCCATAGTACAAGCTCTGCTTAGTTTGGGACTAGATGGCGTTGTGTGTATGTGGTAGAATATTATTATTATTATTATAATTATTATTTTAATCGTGAGAGAGCTATGCTTTGGCACCTATGGGCCAGGTTGACCGGAGTGATACCATGGCCTTACAGAAAACCAGTGTTAAGCTGTGCTGAGGTCTCGGGTCGGATCAACCGTTTGTGTGATCTGCAAATATTTGCTTCAGAGTTTGGGTGTTTTCTATGTACAATATGTACCTATGAATTTACTGAAAAGAAAGTATGTAAGTATTCTAATCTATCAGTCAATCTAGCTTTCATAGCTTAGTTTGAAACTAGATGGCGTTGTGTATTAGATGTCTAAAAATATTATTATTATTATAATTCTTTCGCTGATTTTCACCAAGTGAGGGAGATTACTGTAGGCCAAACTCTCCCCTCTGCCTAGGTCTGGGGGGAGGCACTGAAAGGGCATGTTCATCGGGCGGTAGTCATTTATCATCAGAGGGTCAATTCTCAAAAGTAATAAAAAATCGTTCAAATTAAGTCACGTCCGACCTAATCTCCATCACAGAAATGCCTTAAAAGGTATTTTCGTGGTTACTGAATTTTGAACGAATTATTATTAGGAATTTAATCGACCTTCAGGTGACTCGTCTGTTCGTTTGACCCCTATACCAAAAAAAAAACAAGAAAAAAAGATAACGTGCTGACTAATCATTCGGGATGAGTAGCAGAATATATTTTTTTTTATGGTCAAGGTAAATTTATACTTACTAAGTTATAGTCGGGTAATTTAAACTTTAAGCTTCAAAGGATACTAGCGCCATCTAGCATCTGGTTTTGACATTAAGAACGTCAAAAACTGTTTGATGCTTAAATTTTATGGTTTCTTTTTATTTTAACTTTAAAATCCAGTATATTTTTTAACTATTGTTGCTAAAACTTTTAGTTAAAATAAATAAATATTCCTGTCACACTCATAGAGCTGTAAACAAAACGCTCTAAAGTTTCTTTCTGTAATAATATGAAAGTGTCATTAACGTCAGTTGAACGAAAAGTCAAAACTCCGAAGTTGCATCGTCCGGCTAGTTGTTTGTTCATATATTTCTAGCATCTGCATTAAAATAATAAACACTACGGTTCGTGGAAATGTGAGCGAGAGTGATGCCGATGTCTAGTCTTAACGTTGTGGAATGGTCCGCAGACCAGGTGGCGGACTGGCTTACAGGTACGTTACGGAATAGTGGCGATGTTGTTGTTGTGTGGAGTTGGTGAGTCACGTCACTCACGTTTTGATTCATGTCGGTGATGCAGGGCTGGGGCCGACGGTGGCACGCTATGTGCCGATACTGCGGGACCGCGGCCTCGACGGGCCCAAGCTACTAGCACTGCGATGTGACGACCTCGAGTACCTGGGCATGCACATCATAGGTCACCAAGAACTACTGCTAGAAGCTGTAGAACACCTCAGAAACTTTGTAAGTAGTTGTAGAAATCGTACGTTACATACTGTGTTTGTATGAGTCACATGAGAGTAGAAACATTATACATGTCACTTATCAGAACAGTGTTATCTGTTCACAACTGTGCTACCGAATAAATGTATGCTTATGTAGGCCGCTTTATTTTTAGTATTGTTCGTAGAGCAAGTTGTATATAATGTAGTAAATGAAATACTGTCAATGTTACTCTGTGTCATACTTCACTGTAACTGTATTAGTAACACTTTGATGTGTATGTGTGTAGCAATATGAGGTGTCTCGAGAGTGTGTGCAACAATTGGCTCTGCGTGTGTCGGTTGTGGCTACTACGCTGACTCGAGCTCTGCGCCACCACTCTGATAAACGCCTTGAGACACAGACACTTGCTGATGTAGCCCGCACTGTGCACGCTGTTAAACCACTTGTGTGCTGGCTCGACAGGTAATTTACCTATGGCTTAGTTTATACATTATTAATTGATTAAGATACCATGTTTCATTTCATTTTAAAGTTAAAAAACTGTTTTTCAATTATTTAATTATTTCGTTAAGTTAAAGTTGCAAAAAGATGAGGGAGTGATAAGCATAAAATAATAATGCAGATTAAATCATTACATATTCATGAGTGCGGCAAGTAATTATGAAATAAGCGCTTTCTTCTTTTTTAATAATAATTACACGTCTTATAAAAACGTTAATTATAGAAATCTTGAACCATCAGAACACAGTTATTTGTATTCATGTTTTTATAGAAATTAGAAATATAATTAATTTAGTTCTTCATTTTTTGCCTAGTGATATTTTATTAGTCCAACATTATGGTTCTGATACAATGTACAATTGCAAGTATGTTGTATGTCTAATGTTTTTTTTATGTATTTAGAAATTTGATTACTCATCATACATTTTTCATCACTTCCTGTTAGAATTAATGTGCTTAAAATAAAAAATAAATTCAAAATAAATTAGGCTTCTCTCTCTCTCCTACACCCGAGTCCCTTGCAAAAGAGCCAGTCGTGTTGAATTACCATGTGGTCTCAGTCGGTTCGATTCCGACTTACTACTCCGCCGTTAGTCTGTTTGTTAGTAGTACTGTTTGTCAGTCTGTAGTACTGCAAGTTTGTTTTTCGAAAAATGAAATTCACCACAGCATTTCAAATGTAGATGATTACTTAATGACCGTTAATATATTTTTATAACTCACCAAAAGTTTATCCGTCGCGTACCCTGTCTCGGATGAGTGTTTCCGTACTTAGTGTATCTGGTGCGTGTAGGCTGTGCGCGAGCGGTGCGGGGGGCGTGGCGGGCGCGGGGGCGGCGGGCGCGCTGGCCGAGCGCCGCGCCGTGCTGCTGAAGCTGTCGCTGGAGGCGGCCACGTCGGCCATGCGCGACCGCTTCGCCGAGCAGCCCGCGCGCGCCGTGGCCGCCGCCGCCGCCGCCACCGCCACCACCGCCGACTACATCATACAGGTGCCACCGCCGCCTACCTATTGTCTGTATACACGCTAGCTAGTATTACTGCTACTTATGAATTGTATATTAATGAATTGTTATATTGTTCGTGAAGTACCGTGGTACCATGCTTCGGCAAAAATGGACCGGCTCGACTGGTGTGATACATTCACAGAAAGAGTACTTTTCTCTGATTTCACTGATTGAGTGAGGTTTCCCGAGCCGAACCCGCTACACTCCCCCTCCCCTCATGATAGCGTCCTTGAAATACAGTCTACACCAGGGCCCCCCTGGTGTAGACTGTTTACCTGCGCTAGCGTTGGAGAATCCCCCTCTGGAGACCTCCACGCTCAGAACACTGTGTCTAGGTGTGAATGTCTGGGCTGCCCCGCTTCTGCAATATAAAGATTCTTCACTCCAACCTCAACGCCACCACCTCGAGACAGTAAAGCCGGCCTGCAGTTTCTGGGTCACTTAGAGGGTAAAGTCAAATTGGCCTCGACGAAGCACGGTGTTCTGAACAGATCGAGGCAGTATTTCAGCTCTATAAGACGCAAGTTCGGCCGCATATGGAATACTGTTCTCATCTCTATACAGGGGCACCTCAGTACCGGCATCTCCCTCTGGACCGCATCCAACGAAGAGCGACTCGAATCGTTCATAACCCAAACATCTCCGTTCATTTTTAGGTACCCACCATGAGCAAAAATAATATAAAACTAGTTAAAAAATATGTAAATAAACTTATGAGCGTCATCATTAGACATCAAATATGTTTGAGTAGTGCCGCACTGAAAGTTATCTTCTGCGATTTTTATATAAAGTATAAAAATAAAAGCAAACTCGTGTTTTTAATAGCTGGAACAACATCCGATTTTGTCAGTCAAAATGAAGTTAGATTTGTCAGTAAATACCTAATGTTAAAAGTGGTGTATAGTAATAATATTGTTTTCCAGGACGTGTCGGACCCGATGATCCTGCAGCCGGCGTCGCTGGACACGGTGACGCTGCGACAGGGCGGCAAGGCGCTGGGCTTCGACGTGGTGCCGTCGTTCTGCGGCCACCACCAACTCGCCGACATCCGCTTCGGGTCGCCCGCGCACGCTTCCGGCGCCGTGCACATCGGGGATGAAATCGTACAGGTCCCGAGTTTTCTTGGACTAGTTTTATTTATTAGACAATATGGGTTCATTTATTTGTAGAAGGTACACAGGTGTGTTACGGAAAGTTTGAGTAGTTTTGAGTTTGATTGGTGGTCTTTCGTAACGTGTAAAGTGTGTAACATAAGTTTAGCTGATAACCACGTATGTACAATGAAACAGAAATATATTTCAGTGCCATCTAACGAAGACACCCCGAACTACGGAGTAACTGCTAATCCTGTATCTCGATATAAAAAGTTTTTACGCCGATTAATATAAATGTATGTCTTTTCCACATCATCGTTGGGCTGCCGATCACCTCTTTCGGTCGGAAGATAAAGTGTAGGTAGGACGTGTGGACGATACCGTTTCTTCACACTACTATTACTAATTTATAAAGTTACAACAACATTTCTGAATTTTATTTTAAGACTGAATTAATTTATTTCAATTCAACTATTTATGTTTTAATTTAATGGTCAGTAGTGGGAATATATAAACTTGTCGTTGGTGTTTAATCAAATGATAATGTAGTGTAAAAAATATTACTAATCATATTTAAGTAGCATTCTGGAGATGATAAGCCTCGACCTATGGCACGCATTCATCTGCACGATACACTCGCTCAGCTCTTCACACACTAGATTATCTCTCACTCGTCTCTTTTACACTAGATAGTGTCAGAAAATTAATTTTAATATACGGTGTAGTAAGCGTATGTTTGTGTACCAAATTATTCTTATTATTAATAGAATCGATTAACAACAGTTCACAGCGTAGACGACGTTAACAAAGTAGGAAAGTTAAACGTCACAAATGAATGCAAACAAACATATTTAAATGAGAGTGCGTGGGGGGGTGTCGCAGGTGGGGAGCCAGTGCGTGATCGGGTGGAGCGGCGCGGCCGTGCTGCGCCTGTGCGCCGCGGTGGGCGCGGGTGGGGCGGGGAGCGGTGCGGGGGGCGGAGCGGGGGGCGAGCTGCCGCTGCGCGTGCGCCGGCGCGCCGCCCGCGCTCCGGCGGCGCTGGCCACGCCGCAGCTGCACCGCATGCACCGCCTGCAGCGCTTCCGCCCGCCGCTGTACATGTACGGCGACTTCCGCTGCGAGCTGAGCCCGCTGCCCGCGTCGCCCGTGGCGGCCCGCGCGCCGCCGGACCACGAGCGCGAGCGGGAGCGGGCGCCCGAGTCGCCGCCCGCCTCGTCCGACGAGAGCGAGCCGCTGTCGCCGCCCGCCTCGCCCACGCAGCTGCATCTGCACTCGGACCACACCAGGTACTCCTCGAGTGTTCTTCTCTTGATTAGTTACGAGACCTACGGTTCTCCTCGATTCTCTGGGTATCGTATGAGCTCTCTGTCGGTGCGGTTCGAAACGTCTTCTCATATTCTATACTCGACAAACTTTTTTTAACTGTCAGCCGGTTACTGTATACTTTATACATCGAGTATGAGTTAATTTCTTTTTTAACAGACACACCGCTTTAAAATTAATTTTTAAACGTTTATGTATTTTGCTGTACTGTTTAATTAAAAGAAAATCTGTCAGTTTTTACTCGAAAGATAGATTAAAGATAAAATTAGAACCAAAATATTCACAAACTTTATGCCGCATAAACATATGATCTATTGTCTACCGTTTCCACTATTCTCTGATTCTGAAAAGGAATTACCAAGAGACTTCCAAAAATATACATGGTACACACGGAAAACGAAATATCTGGCCAGTAGTACGAAGTATGTGTGATTTTAACTAACTATTACTAAAGAAATTGGATCAAATAACTCAGCATAGTTTTGAACAATAACACAGACCAACAAAATTTGACAAAATTTCTTACCCAAAAAGCAAAGTATACTTTCCTGAAGCATTTTGGTGCGTTGAATCCAAATTCGGCCGCAAAATTGCTCTAGAGCAATAGAGCAATTTTACGGCCGAATTTGCTCAATTTTTTGTTTTCGTTCAGCTAAGCAGACCTTCAGCTAAAAAACTAGCCTATAAACTAAGAAAACTCTGTTCACTACTATTTCAGCGAAAAATAGATATTTAAGCAAACTCTGGAGGCTGAAGACTTGAACTTTAAAATACCCTGTGTAATTTTTAGACATAATAAAATTTGAAGGTACATAACTTGTGAAATGGACAAAAGTGGCCGGTTTTGGATTCAGCGCACCAAAATCCTTCTGGAAAGTATACTCTGGTTCCTAGGTAAATTTTTTGTTGGCTTTTGTAATTGTTAATGTATAGTGAAGAAAATATTTTTTTTACAATTCACATACGTGTATTATAATATATTTATAGGCACACATATATATATAAACCTGACCAGGTATCACGTTTACCGTGTGCACATACATATATGGACCGGTAAACCTTGACATCGTTACTGGAATGTATCGTCGGTGTCGTAATGCTTACTGGCGCGTGCGCGTGCGCAGGATGTACCCGCCCAAGCCTCGCGCGGCCGTGCAGCGCCGCCACACCATCGGCGGCTCCAGCCCGCTCTACAAGCGCCCCCCGCACTCCATCGAGCAGGTGCGCTCAAGCCTTACACATTTGGCTTAACACGCTTCTCACTATTACGAAATATCTTATTTTTAACCGACTTCAAAAGGAGGCTATCGATTTGGATGTTTATATATTATTATTCTTTGTATATTCATAACTCCGTCATTTATGGCCGGCTTTTCAAAATTTCTTTTTTAGTTCAAAAGGGGTTTAATCCGAAATAGTCCCATTTAAATTTCATATAGATCTGATGATGAGTTCCGAAAACTGACAATGGAACTCTTCAAAAAATTACAGCAAAGTAACGACAATTGTTCCTAGGTTGTTAGTGCTCTTTGTTAGTATTGTTAGAAGTCGGTTCAAATTTAAAAAAAAAACTTGTTTTCTGAAAAATTATTAACTATTATAGTAAAAGAAGTAAACGAATAGAGAAGTTAACGAGTTATTGAAGCTATTTTATAGATGAATCAAATACGACATGTGTAGTACTGTCCAATATTTCATATTCCAGTTCTGGCAAGAGTTGAAGCAGCAACACTGGGGCCGCGAGGGCGGCAGCACCCGGATAAGTCCCACCCCCGACGATATCGCGCTCTACGCCCGGGATAAGGTACACGAGATCGCGAATAAACATTATACGTACTTTATAATTGATGATATATTTATTGACTATGAATTATTGCAGGCCGTGTCCTACAGTACAGGTCTAGAGTTGTCTCCGCGACCACGCACGTGCTTGGGAGTAGTTCTCGACCGTCCCAGGCGGCCCTCCCGGAGCGAGGAGGACACCGCGTTGCCCCCCACCGGCGAGAAGAACCGGGGCAAACTGGACAAGGCCCACTCGACGCCCGCTTACGACTTCGACGCGAGCATCGACGAGCCGGGCCCCCTGGCGGCTCAGACCATCCCCGAGTCCCCGACGACCCCCACGGACCCCCCGGAGCTGAAGAAGTCCATCACGGAGCGCGACCGCGAGCGCGTGCTGGAGACCATCAACGTGGCCATGCTCCAGCACCGCCGCCGCTCCGCCGCCTCCCCCCTCCGCGCCGACCCGCCCCCGCCCCCGCCCCCGCCCGCGCACAGGTAGCCGCTAACTAACACACTTATTGTCAGTTACCACTAAAATCTAGATATATTAAAAAAAAATATGTAAAAGAAGTGTAAGTAGAACTCAGTGGTTTTTTTTTTTTAATTTATCACATGTTACTTTAGTAAATGTAACTTCTCACTTGGTCCTTCGAGCCTAAAAGATTGTAACGTTACGCGTAGATTGCCTCGCAGCACCTCGTCCCGAGCTCCGGAGCCCCCCCCTCGGCCCGCCATCCCCGCGCGCCCGTCGGCCCTAGGGTCGGGCGGGGCGGGGGGCGGGGCGGTGACGTCAGCCTTCCCGGTGCTGCGCGCCGTGCCGCGCGTGGACTCGCCCCCGACGCCCTCCTCGCCGCTCAAACCGCTGCGACCCAGCGACGTGCCACACGTGAGTCTAACGATATCACATCTCTAGTGGAACCGACGCCCTCCTCGCCGCTCAAACCGCTGCGACCCAGCGACGTGCCACACGTGAGTCTAACGATATCACATCTCTAGTGGAATCGACGCCCTCCTCGCCGCTCAAACCGCTGCGACCCAGCGACGTGCCACACGTGAGTCTAACGATATCACATCTCTAGTGGAATCGACGCCCTCCTCGCCGCTCAAACCGCTGCGACCCAGCGACGTGCCACACGTGAGTCTAACGATATCACATCTCTAGTGGAATCGACGCCCTCCTCGCCGCTCAAACCGCTGCGACCCAGCGACGTGCCACACGTGAGTCTAACGATATCACATCTCTAGTGGAATCGACGCCCTCCTCGCCGCTCAAACCGCTGCGACCCAGCGACGTGCCACACGTGAGTCTAACGATATCACATCTCTAGTAGAACCGACGCCCTCCTCGCCGCTCAAACCGCTGCGACCCAGCGACGTGCCACACGTGAGTCTAACGATATCACATCTCTAGTAGAACACGTGCCCATTTTTCATTATATATTTAACGTAATTTGACTTTAACGTTTCCTATGATAAGTTTAATGTTTACTTCAGATATCGGTTCCCCTTCGTCACATAACGAAGCACGATATTCGCGTGATCCCCTCGGAGCGTCGCGAGATGCCCGCCATCAACAGCGAGCAGGAGGCGTCCACCCCCACGTCGTCCCTGCGGCGGCGCTCTCCCCAGGCGGGGTCCCCCGGCGGGGCCCCGCCCGCCTCCGACATAGTGATGGGAGCGCATGTGCATAACGACTCGACCCCTACGCGGGGCTCTGCCTTGTCCCCGCAGAGCGCCGTCAGGGGTATGTTTCCCACTTCTAAATCGAGAAGTCTAAAAAAGAAGAGTTCCATTTTAGCGAGTGAGTAAAATACCTATATTGCCGAACCGAGGGCCAAGTGCGAGTTTATTTCATTTCTACTCGATCGTCACGGTGACCCTGTTAAGTTAGGCCCGAACTAAAATCTCCACCAATCGCTACGCTAAACGCGCTCGCCGTCGAGAGCGAGTCGATGTGAAATAAACTTACACTCGGCCCTCAGTTTGATTTTATTACACCAGTTTTGTATTCATCAGGATCATTCACCGAGTCATTTTGTAATAAAATAGAAGCAGATATTGAATTTGTAGCTAAGACTGCCAGACCGTGTCTAAGAACGCAATATTAAAATAATACATTACTATAGAATATGAAGGCAGGGTCATCGTGTAAAGACGACCGTATTCGGGAGAGGAATAAAACTGATTGATGCTCGAATAATATTCTCTATATTTTAAAATAGTATAGGATTATATAGGTTCAGTATTAAGCAAAAATAACTGAAGTAAATAAGTCGTGATGTTTTTTTTTTTGTAAATATTGCATTTTTAAATAGTTATAATGTATTATATAGTAGACAATATGGTTTTACAAGAGGCCGCTCTACAACTGATGCCAGTGTTGAGCTAGCAATACATATATTTGATGCCTGGGAGGATGCCCACGATGTTCTAGGTATATTTTTTGTTGTTCACGAAACGCTGATCAGGAAATTACATTACTATGGTATCAAAATAAAGCACTGGAATACTTCTTGCTTTATATCTAAATACTAGGTTTTCAGGTTCTGTGGTAGAAATGGGCGTTCCGCAAGGTTCTAACCTCGGTCCTTTTTTGTTTTTAGTATATGTACGATGATACCGTACATTATTGCCGAACAAGCGCTTTTTCCATATGATTATTCATTACTTATTATAAACATTGAGTGCACGATCAACGGCCATCGTGTGTGCTCCTTTGCTCCTTTGTACATTACAGTTCTTTGATTCCTTTCATAAATTACTCTTGTTAATATTTATCAGCCATAATATTCATCAGGAAGTCGGTAAAAGGATACGCCTTTTACCGACTTCCTAACTTCTACAGTATATATTAACGACTCGCCTCACCTTGTCAAGGATAATCTCGATATCGTGTCGTTTGCAGATGATACATCACTCCTATTTAGACTAAAACTGACACTTACTAATTTTACAGACGTAAGCAGCGCCATTTCGAAAGCGGTTAATCGGTTTGACGTTAACAATTTATTTAATAAATAATTGTATTTTATTACGCAGTAAGAAATATTTGAGAGTTGACTGACCCAGCACGACTTGTTTACTTCAGTTATTTTAATAGAATAATGTCGTAAGGTATTCTACTGTGCTGCTGACATTTAAACTATTTTTGTACTGTAAAAGAGAGCGTAATTATAAAATAGAGAATTTATAATTTAGGCAATCGTTTTTTATTAACGCAGAAATTTAAATAAATAAAGATAATGATAGTGGTCAGTTAATATAAATACATATATGATAATGTAATATATGTTCATAAAAACAAAGTTAGTTTCTTGAAAAGAATTGATGTACATTTTATAAATACCAGAAATAGAAATAAACTTGTAGTACTCGTCTCTAGGCTTCAAAGGATGAACAATTCTTTTTGAGGTTAATGTGTCCGATTTTATAATAAAATATTAAATAACATGCAAGACTTAAGTATTAACGAATTTGAATTCTTAATAAAACGTAAATTATTTCAGCAAGCTTATTATTCAACGTGGATTACATAGAAGACAAAAATACTTGGGATTTATTTAGTGCAGACTATTTTTTAAGTAAAAATTTGTTGTCCAGGCTAGTTTTTTTAATTTTTTTATGTTTCACTTCGTTTTCCCTTTTATTCGTTTTTTTAATCTAGGCGGTCGTAGGCACGGGTACATCATAGATTTTGTATAAGTTTAATTTTTATTAAATTTATTTGTTGACTATTCGATACAACAGAGATCGCGTGTCGATCTATAAGTTCGGAGCGTACATGAAAGACGATTTCGAACAATTTTGAAAATGTCATATAACGAAGAGACGTATCCCCAGAGCGGCGCATGGTCCCGGCGCGTGCGCTGGCGGCGCGCGGCGCGCTGGGCGCGGTGTGGCAGCGCGTGCGGGCGCGCGCCGCGCAGCAGCCGCGCTGGGCGCGCCGACACCTGCTGCTCACGCACAACCTGCTCTACGCCTACCGCTCGCCCGAGGTGAGTCGCGCCCGCCCGCCCCGCCCCGCCCGCCCCGCCCGCCTCGCGCCCGTCTAACCCCGCCCCTGTTGCAGTGCTCCAAGGCCGACTGCATGATCTACCTGGAGGGGTTCACGGTCTCCGCCGCGGGCGAGGTCAAGTCCCGCGCGCACGCCTTCAAGGTCTACCACACCGGAACCGCCTTCTACTTCGCCTGCGACACCAGAGACGCGATGCTCGCCTGGATACAGCTCATCCATCGAGCGACTCTCCTGCCCTCGCTGGCCACCAATGTGAGTTCCGTTCCGACCGGCATCCGACCGAAAGAGCCCACTACCTCGCGCGGACTCAGATATGGTTTACTTTTTTCACTAACCTTTAATGTAACCGTTATACTAACCACATGAAAAACCATGAAACCTGAGAGGCTTAATGAACTTATGAAACAATTTTAATTAGTTTTTTCATTAACTAAAAATAGTTAAAATCAATTATTAACCGACTTCAAAAAAAGGAGGAGGTTCTCAATTCGACTGTATTTTTTTTTTGTATATTTGTTACGCGATTACTCCGGCAATTATAAACCGATTTGAATAATTCTTTTTTTATTTAGTAGGTCATACGTCAGAGGTGGTCCCATTGTCACCAGGTCAGGATCTGATGATGGGATCCTGGGGAAATCGAGGGAAACCCTCAAATTTTGTAGGCATATACACTGTTTATCAGAAATTATCTTAATCTATGTAGATTTTTGCATCTAATGGTCACCATCTGATGTTGCTGAGCTGATGATGAATGGTTTAGGAGTATGGGATCTCTGTAACAAAATTATGTAATACCATCGAATTTGAATGTGTTTGAGTCTAATTAATAAGGACTCCGATCCTATGTGATATTCAGGGTCTGATGATGGAGACGGTAAATAGCCATGGGAACTCTGTAATAAAATAAAGCAATTCCGCCGTGTTTGTGCTCATTTGATTCGTCTCGACTAGGAGCTTCATGCTAGTCGATTTTTAACCAACATCAAAAAAGGAGGGTTTTTGATTCGACAGTATGTTTTCTTTTTAACCGACTTCCAAAACACAAAAGAGGAGGTTCTCAATTCGTCTGTATTTTTTTTTATGTATGTTTGTTACGCGATTTCTTCGTCAATTGTGGACCGATTTTCAAAATTCTTTTTGTAATCGAAAGGGTATGCTCCCGAATTGGTCCCATTACCACCAATTCAGGATCTGATAATGGGATCCTAGAGAAATCGAGTGAAACCCTCACAATTATTGGGAATTTGACAGCCCCGACAACGTGTTTTAGCTACGAGTATTTCTTTAGCCAAACAACCATGGCAACTGTCAGAGACTGCGCGATGTGATGCGCAGAGAACTTGCAGTATTTATGTCACCACAGTAATTTTCGTTGTATTAAGAAGAAAAGGTTGAAATTTTGTATTCTATCTTGTTAAAATAATTCGGATAGACGTTTTGTTGCTATGGATGGCATCGCATTTCGTTTGTAAGTAATTTTATACTTAATTTATTAAAATAGTTCTGGAAAAAACTCTTAAATTTTGGGTGGGTCAACTAGGTTAATTTCTAACATACTAGTATTAACCCTTCTAGTTGGAACTCCTTCTATAAAATATTGAGCATATTTGTTGAGTAGTCTCACCAAAGCTTCCCTATCTTCACCTTCGAGATCAGTGTCAATTGAATCGGAAGTTATTTTGTTCGGTTGCAACTCACAAGAATTTGACTGTTTCTTAGAAAAGAATTTAAGCTGATCTTGATCAGTTTGGACGCCAATGTCATTTTCATATCCTACACTAAAAATGGTAAAATAAACCCTTTTTAAAAAAAAAGTTGAACCGACTTCAAAAAACACCGACAAAGAGCACTAAAAATTAAAAAATAATTACAAATCTAAGTAAAAAACTATAATAAGTACCCTCAATGTAACAGGTAACATTATAATACCAATAGTCCCTTCTAGTCTGTTTGAAGTCGGTGCCAAGCTCGATGTACAATAAGTAATACTGGTCTATGTCAGCTTTATATTAGCACAATGAAAAATTAAGAATTCAAAATAATTCTAATGAAACATCGAAGATTTTGTTAATTAATAAAGACCAACCAGATCAATTACGTGCGCAAACTTATCAACTACTTATTAAAGAATTCAAAATAATAATATAATTGGAGATGTGCGTCCACTTTAGCTCGTTCATCATGTTTTGCGCAGCATGAAGACTGTTGCAGCTGCCGCGCTACATTCTATCATGCCTATCAAGCACCTATTTGGCTTGGCACCGACTGCAAACAGACTAGAAGGGACTATTGGTATTATAATGTTACCTGTTACATTGAGGGTACTTATTATAGTTTTTTACTTAGATTTGTAATTATTTTTTAATTTTTAGTGCTCTTTGTCGGTGTTTTTTGAAGTCGGTTCAACTTTTTTTTTAAAAAGGGTTTTTAAGTGTCACTAAACTATAATTTATTTGGTGTAAGTGCCATAATGATCTTTCACTGAATATGTTAGCGAAGACGTGTTATTTAGGATATTGTATAAAGCACTAAGAGCACGTAATTTTCGACATAGACGAATAGTTCGTTCCGATTGAACTGCGAACAGAAAGAGCGCACATGATTATATTGTCGAGAAGATTTGCATTCAAGTCATAACAACACACATCACCATAGTCAATTAATAAAAAGATAAAAGCTTGCACACGCATAATCTTGGTCTATGCGTGTAGAATTTTTTCGGATTTTTTTCGGATGATATAGTACTGAAGATTTCCGGTAACCCTCCCAAACTGATTTGCCACTTGATCAACCTGTTAGACATTTATATTTATATCATCACATACTTTTTGCTAATAAATAAATATTTACAAAAAATATTGTTCCCAGGTCTCCATTGACCACCATAAAAATAATAATAACTTCACACATCTCACACGCGGCTGTCTGATCCAACAGCTCAACAGACCCGAAGTTTAAAGTTCATTTATATTATTGTGTCAAATAAAACTGCGGTGAAAATAAACGATTGTTCGCAGATGGACGTATCAAAGCAATTCTCGGAGACAGATTACTCCGAGACAGAGTCGGACGCAGAGAGTCCGCAGAAGGAGCGCGAGCGCGACAAGGAGAAGGACAAGTCCAAGTTCGGCTCGCTCAAGAAGCTCACCGTCAGGATGCAGCGCAGCGAGTCACACGAGAACGTGCCGCACTCCTCCACCAGCCTCGACAGGAAGTACCTCAGGTTCTTCTCCAGGAACAAGACGAAAGATGAAGATAAGAACAAAAATACCAAGGTAAGCTTGTCTATCTATTTCAGGACAGTTTTTGAAGTGAAAACTTCATAGGCATTTTTGAACAACAATCAATATAATGCATTTTATACATGTGAATGAGGCTGCCGGAACCCAAACCCCTCTGTGGAGGAACGGGTGTCATGACCCTCCAACACAAAGGAAGGATCCTCCGTCCAGGCGAGATGATCATGCCTGGCGGGCCGCGGCTCAGTGTAATATTTAAATACAATATATTATAGGTATCTTATATATGCCCTTACCAAGTAACCCTGTTTTAATTTAAATATTACAGCTGAAGCAGACAGGTGTCCCTATACCAACCGAACACTACCGCAGCTACCGTAAAGTTCCCCTGGCGGATCCCCCTTCGGCGCTGAGTCCCGCGCCCCCCCCTCAGGGCCTCAGCAGCGACTCGGACGGCAACAAGCCGCGGCGGTTGCCCAAGCCGATCAACTACATACACGCCTCGAACCCCAACTTGCTCGACTTCGACAAAAGTGATTTTGTTACTAAGCCTATGATACACGTGCCGCCGAAGCCGAAACCGAAGGTCAGTTTATGAAATATTTACAGACAAATAATTAGATGTCTTTAACATTTGCGCACTGATAATTACGGCGATCACTTTTTTGCTTATTGTTGTGTTATTTTACTGATCCAAATGAATCACATCACATCTACAGCCTTTAATAGTCCACCGCTGGATATAGCCCTCTTTTTAGGAAGGAGGTTTTGGCCTACTACACCACGCTGGCACGCTATTGTTAAAAGAGACGTCGTAACGAATACTGAAATAGTGTATTTAGACCATCATTCTGAGTCAATAATCAATATCATCAACAAATCAAACGCTTTATGTAATCAGCTGTCAAAGGTTGAGGTCATTTCCCGTAGATATCGCACAAAAGTAATAACTTTATTTATGCAACAAGCAAGCAGTCTACGCACATTTACACAAAATCTTATCTGAAAAGGGAACAAATTAAAAGAAATGAAACTCGAATAAACTTAAAATGAAATTTTTCGAAGTATATATTTAATAATAAACAAGAACTTGTTGAACATTGCAGACGGAGAATTTGATGGGGTTCGTCACTCTGGAGCAGTTCATGCTGAAGAAGCAGGCGGAAGAGCGGCGCCAGAACAGAGACGTGCAGGCGCACCGTCCTACACCACATCCTCATCCCCACCAGCCCCTGCGCACCACCACCACAACCCACACGGCCGCCAGGCTCGATCACATCGGTAAGGGCCAATTGTGTCTTTATTACCAGACAGTGCTGAATAATGGGTTTATTCACAAGTCACAATAAAACAGTTTGTTCTAAGACTGTTGTACGGGCAATGCACCCGCACATTGTCGTGTCAGCATATTGTTACTCATTAGCTATGGGTAGAACATATCAAGCTTCGTACTCAAACTGTTGACCTAACAAGAGAGTCATTAACTCGAATTCATATCATTTTAGATTTAGTTACACTTAGCCAAATACAATAAACAGTTATAACAAGTTAGCTTATTATCTATCATTTTACTTCTTGGCTTTTACGTCATTATAACTTTATCGAGACGACAAAGACGTCTTCAAGCGTCCGCCGCACTTAATTTTTTTAACGAACGAATAAAACAAGGCTTATGTTTATTTTCAGAATCAGGAACATTTATAAGAGTTCATCCTGATTTCGACTATGCATTACAGCATGCGATAATTACGCATTTAACATAACATATTTTTATTTATTTACTTTCCTCTTATCTGTGAAAGTGATTTCGTGTCAAGGGACGGAAGTGTGTAACACGTAACGGGAGTCGGGGAAGCGTACTCGGTGCTAGTTGGCAGAAGTTGTACGTCATATGCGACTACTGTGAGGTTCTCTGTACAATATATAAAACGGTGGTGAATGGTCTGTTCCGTTTCAGTAGCGGATGTGATTTACGGCGAGGTGGGCCCCAGCGAGGGTCGGCGTGATGATAGTAAACCTGTGTCTGTGCGCGGGAAGGATGGGTGAGTCACTTTTTATTTGTTACTATAGTTCTCCGTAAACTTTTAAATAATATATATTTGTTGCTAGATCGAAGCTGAAGTACACCAATACGTAGTTCATTGGTAAACATCAGTCAAATTAAATAATTATAAAACCGATTCCTGAACCTTTTCTGGCCCACGTCAGCAAGAGAAAGTACTTAAGGATAATTTATAAAAATATTTTCTTTGTGTAGTTTATAAGTAACAACTAAAAAAAAATATGGGCAAAATCAATAGGGTTTAATCGAGAAAATCTTTTTTATTAAGATAAAAATATGACATTAATTTCTCTTTAGGCATAGACAATTTGGTTGCCATATAAAATAGATGAATATCGTTGACAGAACGGATTCGAATTCCAGACGGACACGACATGACAGAAAGTTAATACTTAAACGATTTTTGGTGGTCATAGTGTAAAATGACAGAATTTAGACCCCTGCCTCCATCAGTTTAAAGAGTGTGCAATGCGTATTGCAGTTACGAGAAGCTGGTGTTCCGCGACGAGCCCGCCGCGCGCTGGAGGGACTCGCTGCGGAGGAACGACAAGGTACACGCATACATCACATCACCTTATACAAACATTCTATCCACTATCCATTTTTTACATATTTTGATAAAATAACGTTGCAAATATATTTCAATTTCATAATACTTCTATTCTAAAATATATATTTAAATGAAATATAAGGTCGGTCTATGGATAGGTGACCAATGTTGAGAGGCCAACCTGGCTCGGAGAGGACGTTGAGCCCTCGGTCCCGGTTGCCATACGAATATCATTTGCAATCGTAACGGACGATTCAAGCCTAAAAAATATTTCTACCGAACTTCGACATCGCCTAGTACTCCGGTCGTGGAGGTCTGATGACGGTTGCTCCGCTTATAAAATCGAAATGGAAGTAATAATATAATAACATACTCGCACTTTTCAATTTAGCGTACAAACATACATTGTATCTTATAAATAGTATTAGACAGTGCGAGAGAAATAAATCACAAAAGTAAAATTAACTCAATTAATAGAAACATTTCATTATTTCTTTTAAAATCGAACGATTAATCGTTTTTTAACAAAACAAATCAACTTTAAAGCAATCGATTGAGAGAAAACAAACTGATAAAATCGATCGATTAATCGATTTTTAACAAAACAAATCAACTTTAAAGCAATCGATTGAGAGAAAACAAACTGATAAAATCAATCGATTAATCGATTTTTAACAAAACAAATCAACTTTAAAGCAATCGATTGAGAGAAAACAAACTGATAAAATCAATCGATTAATCGATTTTTAACAAAACAAATCAACTTTAAAGCAATCGATTGAGAGAAAACAAACTGATAAAATCAATCGATTAATCGATTTTTAACAAAACAAATCAACTTTAAAGCAATCGATTGAGAGAAAACAAACTGATAAAATCAATCGATTAATCGATTTTTAACAAAACAAATCAACTTTAAAGCAATCGATTGAGAGAAAACAAACTGATAAATGCTTATCTAATATAAATAATGACAATACATAAATAAAACAATGAAAATGGGTCTGAATACTATAAAATATATTTAATTATTGGGATTCATACTTCAAAGTATTGGATAAAAAATGCGTAGATCGGTTTAGAGTTGTATGTCGTACAAGATAATTAAAGAAGATGAAAAAATTGGTAGAATGTTATAGACTCGAGGATTCTAGTAAAATATAAAGTTTTTATACATTAATCAATCAATCAATCAATCAATCAATCAATCAGTTTATTTTCATTGCGAACATGGGTTTACAATTAGGTGTTACAGTTATAATACTTTTTTCTGCCACATTCTACCTTTAGGCATGCAATAAGATAACATTAATAGCGAGTTGGGCTTATTTAATACATCATACGAGGTCAGAATTCTATTTTATGTCAATATCAATTAAAATAACAATTACAATTATATTATTAAAAAAATGAAAAATGTCATAATCATAATAGACAATGTATCACATTTATTAAAAAAGTGTATTAATAGAGGGTATGGTGTAGTTATTAAAAAACATGCATTCTATTATATTTTCTCCGTTAAAAACTCAGTTACAGAATAGTATGCTTTCATTTCTAAAAATTCTTTTAACTTGCTCTTGAATGCACTTATGCTCAAGTTTTTCCATTGTTGCGGTAAATGGTTATAAATTACTGGAGCCATACAGAAAACACTTCTACGCATAAGCACAGTTTTTTGCTTGGAGTAGGCGCAGTCTACTATTATCACGCCTGTTCCGTGTAACCGTATCCTCAAGCCGCGGAAATAAGCCTGGATTTGTTTTAACAAACATTGACATTTCCAAAATATAAATGCTTGGCAACGTCAATACTTTATACCTCTGAAAGTAAGTTTTACAGCTATCACTTGTTTTTAGTTTAAACATTGACCGTATGCATCTCTTTTGACACTTAAAAGCAATTAATGTATCTGTAGAGTTACCCCAGAAAATGATGCCGTAGCGTAAATTTGAGGCAACTAAACCGTAGTATGCGGTCATCACTGTTTCTGTATTGACGATTGACGTTAACGTATGCAAAGCGTATGCAGAACTACATAATTTTTTGCAAAGCGTCTCTATATGTGATTTCCAATCTAGTTTTTTATCTATCGTTAACCCGAGGAACTTCGAAGTCGTTACATTTTCTATACTATGATTGTCAATGTTTATATTTTGGTATATATAACTGATTGGAGCGATCCGTTGACTGAAATGTATAATCTTAGTTTTATTTAAATTGATTTTTAAATTGTTAATGTCAAGCCAGTTTATTATGGATGTCAAGGAATTCGTAATGTCATATTTATATTGAGTTATATCATTATTACAAGATATAGTAATTGTGCTATCATCTGCGAAAAGCGTTACAGTATTTTTTGTACATTTTGGAAGGTCATTAATATATAATATAAAAAGCAAAGGTCCCATTACGCTCCCCTGAGGGACACCGTACAAAACTTTCCGCTCATCTGAAAGATATAGCTCCTCTCGTTTAGTAGTGGGGTTTATTATTGCTATTTCTGTACGTTGTTTTCTGTTCTCCAAATACGATTCGAATAACTTTAGGACATTACCTCTCACTCCATAGGCATATAGTTTTCTAATTAATATATCATGTTTTACATAATCAAATGCCTGTGTCATATCACAAAATATTGAGCATACAGGTGTTCGTTTGTCTACTTTCATCATAACTTCATGAAGAAAGTTGAAAATTGCCAAATTCAAGGTTTTGTTTTTACGAAATCCATTTTGTTCATTGCACAATAGATTATTTTTTTCCAGATATAGGTACAGTTGCGTATGTATGAATTTCTCAAATATTTTGGAGAATATGGGAATTAAATCAGCACACAACAACGTAACGTGCCCACATAATTATAGCGATAGTATCGCTCAGTACATGTAGACGCTTTCATTTATATTTTAAACGGTAAGCGTGGAGACATGGATATTGACGGATTTAATGTCGGGTTTTCTTTTTAGAATAAGCAGAGTAGTGCACAGAGACCATTGAGTTGTTGCTTACCCACATTGATATCGGGCCTGGTGTGTTGCGCAGGTGCACACGACGAGCGCTAGCGGGGGCGGGGGCGGGAGCGGGGGCGGGGGCGGGGCCGGGGGAGGGAGCGGGAGCGGGGCAGGGGGAGGGGGCGGGTTAGTGGGAGGGGGCGGTGGAGGGGAGGGCGAGCGACACGCGCCGCACCCGCTGGACAGGTAACCACTTATTTATCTTCCATTGGATATATTATTATTGACCGCCTCGGTGGTGCAGTGGTACGGTATACGACTGCTGTGCTGAGATCTCGGGTTCGATTCCCGGGTCGGACCAAATGTGCAAATATTTGTTTCGGAGTTTGAGTGTTTTCATAGTAGTGTTTTCAAAAGTATGTAAGTATTCTATCAGTTGATCTAGCTTTCATAGAATGAGTTCTGCTCAGTTTGAAACTAGATGGCGTTGTGTGTCAGATGTCCAAAATAATATTATATATTTATTATTTTATATACACACGCCACATGCTTCTATTATTTCTATTTAACACATTATTTATTTAAACTGTAAAGAAGGACTGGACACATAGTAAAATATGATGGACGGTTATGAGTTTTGTATCGTTTATAAAGTGAATCATCCTAACTATATTCATGTAATTATCATATTGTAGAACTTTGCTGAAATATATAAATTCTCCTCAAAAAATGATTGCTATTGCATTAACTAAACGTAAAGAGTTGTCAACAAAACGTTTCTACCATGAGATACACAAAAGTCCCATACATGTCTGCCATTGTGCTTTCTTATAGTATTTACATTTTTTTTAAATTGGCTGATATATAAAAAAAAACTACATTTATTATTGTGAATTTATTAAATAAAAGTCTGTGTAACGGTTGCCGATAACGTATGATCTGTTTCCAGCTGGAGCGGTAGTGCGGGCAGCGGCGGCGGCGGCTGGGGGGGGCGGCAGTACCCGCACCTGGTGTGCCCCCCCACCTTCCAGCCCGAGACCTACAGCCTCGCACGCCTGCCGCCGCGACGGAACGACTCCGACGCCTAGGGGCTCCTCCCCACACTCGCCACCTCACACTCGATTCTGTTTGTTCATTTAACGAGAGGCAATAATATTGTTTACCTTACATTGTGTTATATTACGCTCAATTATTGTTAGTAGTGGGTGCTTCGACCGAGTGCACCACAAATACACGGTTTCTAATAAAATTAAAGTTGATAAGTGGCGTCAGATAGCACTATATTCTACACAACGTGCATACACTTAATTAAACTAAGTACCTAAACTAGGGTTATACAATGAATGCTCCTGAAAATATTATTCAACAGCCTTTCATAGTCCACTGCTGGACATAAGCCTCTCCTTAGAAAGGAGGTTTTGGCCTACTGTACCACGATGGCCAGACGGGTTGGTATAGGATTTGAAAATATGTATTGTAATAATTTAATTACAGGTTGTGCCTGTTATAGTACGTCGGTATAGTAAATATAGTTTATTTCGTGCTATGGTCCGCGCACGCACACTCACAACAATAAAAAAAATTATTTGATCAAATTTTAGTTCAGTACAATGTCACTGTTATATTATATAAAACTAGCTGGTACCTTCGACTACGTTCGGGTGGAATTTGAAAAGCTCCAGTCCATGAGGCCTCGGGTATTCATGGGCCGACAAAATTTTATAGGGTTTTTCTGAGGGGAAAAATAGTCTAAGTCGCTACTGACAACTCCTGACCCCTAGACTATAATCAAAATCGGTCCAGCTGTTTTGAAGATGACCCGGAACAAACAGAAAGACAGAGACAAATCGTATTTAAACTGGTTTTTAGGCATAGGTATCGTGCAAATAACCGCACTAATAATAATAATTTGACATTACAAACAGACACTTCAATTTTATTTATTTGTATAGATATGGTGGCACTCGCACACCTGTGACGTGCGGACGGAGCGACGACAAACACATATCTGTTAATGTTGTATAAGTATTACGTACACCTCACGGCATATCTCTACACTTGTATATACGCGTCTTGTACATACTTACTCTATAGACTGATGCGCAGAATTTTCTTGTAGTACCTCGTATTCGTAGTTTTATTGTTAACATGATATTTCTGGGTGTAGCGTTTACGATCCCTCGATATACCTATTGTTTAGTACTAAATACGTATTCCTCGACGTCGATTATGACTATTAGCGTAAGAAAATGATTTTGAATGTAGATATTATCGCATAATTTAAGTGTAAAATGTTAGAAAGATAAATTATCGCTCCTAAAGTCTATTCTTTTAAACGGTAACATTTATTTGTGTAGATAAATATATCGAGGTATATTATGATTATGAAACACCAATGATTTATTTTGTAGTAAGTCGACTAGAATAATGGAAGTGAATCATGTTTTTTAAATGTGTGTATCGAAGGCTGGTATAGACAGAGGAATAGATGTAAAGTAAGAAGAGAAAGATTTTATAAAAGAAAAAAGTTTGAAAAGGCTGACGCTTGGTGCGGTAGTGTCGCGCCGGCCCCACGTGGTTCGGTACTCGCGGTGTAGGTGGCGCTGTTCTATAACTGGCAATACGTATTGTCTGAAAATATTATACTATACGACATGATCCATTAGTTAAATAAATTATATAGTTAATTATAATTACTCAGAGCTTCCACGGTGTATTCAGTTTTTTAGCGAAAATATATATTTTAGAGAGTTAGGCGAGCCTCGTCCTGCGCGTAGTGAGCGTGGGACGAGGCCGGAGCCGAACGAGTCCACTACTACATACAGGACTCGAATGGATAGTTAGTATTAGGAATTAAATTGGTATATATAATTTACAAAATATTACACTTATATTTTACCCTGCTAAAGATTTTGATGATCTAAGCGTATTCTTTAGAAAGTTTGTTATTCAACACTGATTTTATACTTTTTAAATACAATGAGATTAAATTGTTTATAATATATCACTACGATATGGCTGTGTACCTCTACGTGGAAGATATGCGAGGACTGTCGAGTCCTGAGAGCATTGTGTGAACGCCACGTGGAATAAACGACTTATTTATTTACGGGATAATGCTCAACTCACCTAAATAATTAATATATTGTAATTATCTCACTCAAACCCTTATCGATTGTACAGACCAGTGTTTTATAACAATTGTATATTAATATTTACCCTTAATCTGTTATATAATTATCGCTAAGTTTTATATCACTGCAATAATTTTGTTATACATTCGCTATTGTAAACGTAAGAAGGTGTACCTATTCTATTTTTATAATATTCTGTGTTTTAGAAAGAGATGAAACATGTTTACGATTTTCATTACCGTTTTAGGCAACTGTGTAGTGATGGGTGAGCCGAGCGCTGAGAGATACGAGCAGCTAACAAAGTGTACTGATATATCCCAGTAGATGTACTGCCGCTGTACTGTACTGTTACTCGATAGATACGTTGATGTCCTATACGAAAGTTATCGATACGCTTGTGAACCGTCGACTGTTTTGATAATTTTTATTTTATATAATAGATAAGATAAATAATTTGACTTGAATGAATATAAATTATTGTTTTACAATATGTGACGAGACATGCGCACGTATACGTCCCGGTATACGTGGCACGCGGGCATGTAACGAATCAGTAATAAATATATTTTGAATAAGGAATATCTTTTAATTATTCTCCTGGTGTTCAATTTGTCGGCTCTCTCGTTGCCTTCTAACCCTGCGTGTGATTTTACCCAGATTAAAGTCACAGCTTTGTTCTGAAGAAATGCTGTTCTTAGCTTCTCTCTGGCTGCTACCGCTAATGGGTGAAGGTGAAAGGTCTGTCCTTGGACCCCTCCTTTAGAACATGGGGTACGAATGGGCCCTTCGAGTTGATTTTCCCCCTGGGCTGGGTGTAATTTGTTACGCTGATGATACTTTGGTCTTTTTACGCTGATGGAACTTTCAAGAGGCGGCGCGCCTTACGGGTGGCACTGGATAAGACGGAGGCCCTCTACTTCCATGGGCCCCGTCGTGGTCCACCCCTCGGTGCCTTAATCGTGGTCAACTTTCCGTCAACGTCAACGAATTTCCGCGCCCCGAAAACGCCCAACAGCGGCACCACCAGGAAGGTCTCAGCCCTCCGTGTCAGTCCGAATCGCTTATTCCTGCGACCCCTAGATCGCCAGATAATTGGCTTTTAAATTTTCAAGATGGCTGCCGCAAGTGTCAAAATTAAACTTTGAGCAGCCCTACCAGATCCAGTGGTCGCAGGAAGACGGGACTTTCTTTGTCCTGGTTGCCTGTTCCAGTTGCTCCACCCGAAGGCACTCCCCAGGAGTCCAATTCCCAGATTCGTTTTTGCGTACAGTCCGAGAGATGTCGGCCCTCTGAGTCGGGATCCGAAAACCGCAACGTCCCACGGCGCCCCGCTCCGGAGATATGGAACTCTAAAAATTTACAAGATGGCAGCTGAGCTGTCAAATCCGAACTTTAGACAGCGATAACTCCAGCCCCAGTGGCCGCACGAAGCTTCGGTTTTGAATTGGTTTTCGGTATTGGCTTGTATTAAATATAGAGGTCGGCGCACTTTTGGATTGTAATGAAAACCTGAACTTGTCTAATACTGTTTTTTGTTCAGAGTACTCTATGAGTTTCTGTTGGCCTAGTGATCCTAGCTGCTGCTATGCTACTGCACTTAAATAAGCTGGCTTAACCGAAATGATATCAGTTCCTCACAGAAAATAGAAAATCTGTTTTCTTTTCATTGCTATTCACTGTGAGAATGAGGTTACCGGAGGCCCAAGGCTCTTCCCCCCCCCCCCCCTATGATTCTTGTGCACCTGGCGGTTCGGAATATCGTACGATTCGATGCGCAGAACACAATAATAGACAGCAGCGTGACGTACAGGGTCGCGGGGGCAGGGCGACACACGACACGCATGCGTTTTAGTGTATGAGTTACATCCGTGCACTGCACACGCGCGCACGTTCCTGTCTACGTACGGTCGAGTCGACCTGACTGTAGGCGCACACCTGTGTGCGCAGCTAACTTCAGAGCCGCAATTAAGCTTTCATCGCATAATAATGCTCTTGTGTCTCTTTAAATTGCAAGTGGCCATGAGTGGCGGTAGTTACTTACTATCAGGTGACCCATCTGCTTGTTGGTTATTTCACATCATATCAACAGCCTTTAATAGACCACTGCTGGACATAGGCCTCTCCTTGTTGGTTATTTAAACCATAAAAACCCCTATATTAGCGCGCGCACGCCGTGCCTCGGAAAGCACGTTAAGTCGTCGGTCCCGTTTGCTATATGAACATTTGAGGAGCCCTTAACAACAATCTTTCTACAGAACTTCGATATCGCCTAGTGCTTGCGTTGTGAAGGTCTGATGGCAGTCGCTCTACGTAAAAAATGCAGCCGTGTCGTAGTAGACTTGAAATCGACTCACTAGACTCACTAGGCACACGACTATAGCTAGATACGTATATCGCCAGGAATGCGTGAGGGTTTCAATATTCGAACGCTCTGTCCGACTGCCACACAAGTGTCCGTTTGCGCCGTTTGGCCTTTAAACATTGACTCGCGCCGACAGGTGGCGCTGGCGTTTCTTTTATCACGTAATTGCGACACATACATATCCATACTAATATTACATCGCAAACAGACAGCGGTCGAGCTTATACGTCAATCTTTTTTGTGTCAGGCGTATTTAATTAAGTGGAAAATTAATATTTAATTTCATGACAATGTTCTGATAATCACTAGTAATTACAGAATGACTCGCGGGCCTTTTTTGTTCAGCTGAAAAGCTGCAGTGCAGTCGTACGGGACCTACTCTATAACGAAAACTTTTCAAATTTACAATAAATAATACAAGAAGTTTTTCATAACTTTGTTAGTAAAGTGGTTCGCACTCGATTGCAGCTATAACCCTACCAAATAATGTTGTTGTAACGGCCTCAATTACCACCGAATCATTTATAATTCAGCAGTGTTCAGACGGTTTAACAACTCTTAAGAGAGAAACAAGAATGGCTCCCCCAAGTTC